AAAAGGAGTTATGCGCCACCACCTCGAGTCCTGACGATCTTCTGCTGGGTCTCCGGTGGCCTCAGGCTTCGTCGGGGGGGGGGGGGGGGGGGGGGGGGGGGGTTCGGGGGCTGAGCGCGCCGCCCCTCAACTTGGCGCGACTTCTGCTTCACCTCCTAGGCCGAAGGAGATACCAAGGGCGATAAGGCCAAAGTTAAGGATGAGGTGAGAAGCTCGATGTTCTGAGAAAGTTGGATCATAAAGTGCTGATGTTGGAGAATGAGGTTTAACTTTCATCAAAATAAAGAACTGGGGGGGGCTGGTCTTAATCGATTCTGACTTTTCCAAGTATTACCTGTCCTTTAACCATGAAACTTGACTGCTCTCAGCTGTTCGTAGTGATTTCCGACGGGATAGCCTCTCGTTTCTTGAGAACGGGGGGAAAAAGTGACCTAAAAACTTAAACATTAGTTCTGGGATTTTACTGCTTTGAAATGAGACTCGCTTATGAGAGTTCATATTGCATCACGTTAAATTCAATCATTTTTCTTTTTAAATAGCCACAACGGAGATCGGCGAGGTTATCTGCTGTGAGTATTCTCTTGTTGAGCAGAGATGTCCCAACACTTCATACTTTTAAGCTTGCGCGTTACCTACCGTGTCTGTGCGAGAACTGTAGGTATTCTGGAGAGCCGCGTCGTTCAGGCGAACGAAAGTTACTGGCTTAACGCGCTGCCCCAGTGTGCGGCGTTGTGGGAGTGGTGGGATAATTGACAAATCAAGTAAGTGCTTCAGTTTCAAATGTTTTGATTTGCTTTCCTAGAACTAAAATATTGGGGTTGAATGTTTTCAAAAACTAGTATGTTTCTCTTAAAGTACTTTGAATAACACAAACGTTTTTTCTCACTTACAGAAGCCGGCCCCTCCGAAGCCAGAGCCTAAACCTAAAAAGGCAGCTCCAAAGGTAAGCAGTTGTGTCAGTGCTATTGCTGAGAGGTAAACGGGTTGTCCGGTAATAACTCGCGAAGCTCTGAGTAACAGCGCGTGCAGTGGTGAAATCGAGCTGCATCGTCACTCCTGTAAGTTACGCTGAAAACTTTGAACTTTACAAAACTCGCATGGGAAGCACCGAAGTGGAGACTCTTCGCAGTTGCTGTCGGTCTCTTAAACACGCGGATGTTTGTGTGTTCCGTTCTTTTCGGGCCAACATCCAGTGTTGGTTTTTACCACGCTGGTTTTGGATTCTTGTGGCTCAGTGGCTGGATGTTGGTAATTGCAATGGCGCGCGTCATCTTGCATTTACAGAAGAGCGAGAAGTTGCCCAAGGGAAAGAAGGGGAAAGCTGATGCTGGCAAGGAGGGAAACAACCCTGCAGAAAACGGAGATGCCAAAACAGACCAGGTACAACAGCGGCGCTGGCAGCTTGCGTCATGTCAGCAAATTATTTTTTTCCCCTATCGAACACAGGCAGGTCTAGGCTTGCACTAACGAAGAGGAATTATTGCTCGATTATTTAGGCCCGTTGCTGATGACGCTACCAGCGCATCTACAGGGGTTGGGGGGCGTCGCTCGGGCGCTAAAAGAGTTAAAGCTGTCTGTTTGCCAGCTGAAGTTGCCACAGGAAAGTTACTGTTCTGCCTGGTTCTGAAAACACGTAATAAAGCAACTTCAGGTTGTCTGTTACCGTGCTTCAGGTGTGCGACTTCGTTGTGTTAGAAGGCGGGGTGGTGCAGCCCAGATACGGTGGTGTTTTTTTTTCTTTTCTGTTGCGAGAGTGGCTGCTCAGAAAAACGCGTTATCAGTTGTTTGGTGCCAGCGCGTGGTGTATATTGACTGGTTCCCCTTTTTCTTCTAGGCACAGAAAGCCGAAGGTGCTGGTGAAGCCAAGTAAAATGTGTGAATTTTTGATAACTGTGTACTTCTGGTGACTGTACAGTTTGAAATACTATTTTTTATCAAGTTTTATAACAATGCAGAATTTTGTTTTACTTTTTTTTTAAGCTATGTTGTTAGCACACAGACCGCTTCGTTGTTGTGTTTTGAGGGGGGGCAGTGGGGACAAATGTCACTTAGTCTATTTCTCGGAACCTAAATTTTAATAAGAAAAGTTTTCCCGGTCCCCCAGTTTTTGGAAGAAGGGCTCTTCCCGAGTAGCGGAGGAAGGGCTTCCTTCATGCTGTCCGTCTCCCACGTTCTGTGGAGTGCATCCGAGTGAACATCGAAGCTCCCAAGATGCCCGTTGCCGACTTCAAAACCGCAGTGTGTCATGCCCTCTGTGTTTCCTTGCGCGTCCTCGTTGCTTGCCTGGAGCCTGTCGCTCCGAACTACTCCGAACTGCGGCAAAAACGGCGTTTTGGGACTTGCCGCTCGCTCTGACCGCGCTGCCGGGTGATCCTGACGTCTGGGGTCGCGTTTGGGGTATAACGCCTCTAAAAGGAGCTGTAATTCCTCTTTTATATTGTGGATCTTCAGATTAAGAAACCCGCGTTTTAATTTCTTCCCTCTAAAAGTCAGGGTAGGTTTGTGAAGAGTTGTTAAACAACATGCTAAATGTGAAAGCGTCCACCCTCACTCTAAACGTTTCCCTCTACGACTATGAAATGAAGATTCTTCGGTTTTATAGCAACTTTTGCGTTTTGGTAGTCCATGAAGGGAGGGGAGTTTGACAGTTGTTGTAAAATGTTGCCGATTGTAGCCCATGTCCTGCCTAAATTGCCATGATTGTTTATGAAAAGTACCTTTAATAAAGCTGGATACGGTTTGGCTTGGACTGTTCTTAACGCCTTTCTAATTCCTCTTGCCTTTGTTCCGTCTCTGCTGTGGTTAGTGCCAGGAGGGCGCTTGCTGTGCGTGTGTTTGTGTTTGTCTTCAGGCAGCGTTTTGCCGGTGGCCAGGAATCCGTTTTAAGCATCTTCACCGAGATAATTAATTGAGACTTAATTCACCAGCAAAAAGCGAGATTTCCTTACCCGAAAGCTGGGTCGCTGCAGGATGTTTTGAAACTGGGCTTACTGGGAGGCCCAAAATGGAGCATGGAAGTGAATCTACTGCGATAAATTGTCTTCGTTATTGTCTAAAAAGTAGTACTGTACAAAAAGGGGAAGAATACAGCAATCTTGCCGTCGCTGCGGAGAAAAATAAATTTTGGTAAGCTTTTCTTGGTAGTGAAACCAGAACTAGCTCCGTAAAACTGGTTGTGTGTCAGGTTCTGCACTGGAGCTTGAATATTGTTGGTTCTGCTAATCAAAGGCAGCCTTTGCTGCGGCAGTGACGGAGCGGGAACTGGGATTTCTTGGGTCAAAACGCACCGTTTTCGTAGTCGCTACTTCCACCACAGAGCAGAGCCGGACCGACGGCCCCGACCTGGGAGCGTCTCCTGCGGCAGCTCTCGCCAGCGGAATGTTTTTCCACCCCTGCTCGGCCCCCGGGACCCCGGTGCCTGCTCTCCCTTCGGCTCGGGCAGCTGTGGGCCCCGCACCGTTTTCAGAGGGAACCCAAGGACAAGGAGCAGGGCAGCGTCACATCCAGGTTTGTGACCGGAGCGCTCGAGGCGGTGTGGGACGGCCGGAGGCGCAGAAAGCAGCCGGGTACAAGCGTGCAACGTGAACTGCCTTTCCCTCCTGCCTTATCAGAGCCGGTACGTCTCCTGTTTGCCCCAGCAAACCTAAGAAAAATAACGTTCTGTGGTGCCTGTACCCCACCCGGGAGCAGCGGCTTAGAAACGGCCAACAAAAGCAGCGACAGGCGTTGAGCAACCGAGCCGTCGCATGCAGCCGCGGCTCCCCCGCGCGGGGGGCAGGGGGCAGAGGCAGGTCGC